CCGTCGGTAAGAAGCCGCGGCCTTCCTGCGCGCGCCGGGCCTCAGTTTCCCCAGCCCGAGTCCGCAGCCCCCTGAGGTCCGGGTGCCCTAAGGGCGGAGGGCGCTTGCTTCGGGCGGTGGGAGGCGCGGCGTCGCGGGCAGGGACCTGGGCTGACCCGGGTGTCGTCCTGTCTGAAGTGGGGATGGAAGCGGGGCTTAGCTTGCGGGGCTGGGGGAGACACAGGCCGTCTGGACGCGGCCCCTCTGCGCAGCCAGCCGGCCTTCACCTGGGCTTTGGGGTAGTTCGTGCAACATTCTGCCAGCCCAGGTAAAACGCCTGGGGGTGGGGGAGGCAGAAGGAAGTTGGGAAGTGAATAAAACGTAAATAACTTGGTTCTCCTGGAATTGGGAAGAACCTGGTTGTAAAAGTGTGAGCCAATTACTGGCCACCCTCCCCCCAATCTATTAGGTGAAGTTCTGTCTGAAAAACAAATCCAAAGAAGTGCCTCCCTTTGGGTCTGGGGAGTATGGGGGCCTGTGACTTCTGACCATGAAGGGGTGATTTTTCGTTCTGCCCTGTTCCTTCCTGTGAGGGCAGTGACGAGTGGTCAAGGTGGGGGAAGTGGGGCTCGGGGGCTTCCGAGGAGCCCTCAATGTGGGTGGGGCCTTTCAGACAGGGAGGGGAGAGGGCCCTCAGGGAAGCTGCTTAGGGGCAGTGCGGGGGACTTGGAGCGACAAAGTCCAAGGATACCTCTAAAGAGGGTGAAGGTGGCAGCCAGCCCTGGGGCTCCCTGGGAGGAGCCTCTCCCAAGTCCTCCTCCCCACCCCTGGAAGCCAAGGAAGGCAAACCCCACCCAGACAATTGGCCACACCTTCTGGAGGAGGGAGATGTCAGGATAGTCCCCAGGAGGCAAGGGGCCTTCTGTGCTTCCAGGAGGGGTTCTGGCCTTGGACTGTCTTTGGGGGACAACGTGGTAGCAGAGGCTCCCCACCTCCTTTCTGAGAGCCCCTCAAGGCTGGAGCCCTCGGTGGGGCCAGGACCGCTGCCCAGCACCCACCCACAGGCCTGTCTGCTGGGGCTGCAGGCTGACATGGTTCCACCTGTTTCTGCTCCCCCCAAACCAAACTGGGGTCCGAGTCCAGCTGGGGGGTCAGCTTGGTGTGCCCATCCAGCCTGTGTGGAATACTCCCAGCATGTGTGCCCGCCAAAGGCAGCGTGAGGCCGTAAAGCGGAATCCAGTCCTGTGTCCACGGCGCGCAAAGCAGCAGGACAGCACGTGGCAGGGCCCAGCACCCAGCAGGTCGTGGGGAGGCCCTGGGCACTCTGAGGCCTTCCTCTGTCCAACCCCAGGCTCCTCTGACATGGAAAGCCCTGTCTCCCCCCACCCCCGTAGCACACGGGCTCCCAAAGGGAGGTCCCGGGCCCTGCAGAGCGGCCAGGAGACCGCTGGCCCTGGCTCTGACGGAAGGTCCTGGCCGGCTCGAAAACCCCGGGTCCTTCCATCGGCCACCTGCACTGGTGCTCATGCCCTCATCTGAGCCCTCGAGCTGATTTCCTTCCCAGCTGGAGGCCTTGCCTAGAGCCCAGACTACCTGAAGTCCACTGACTAATGGGCCAAAGGCCTCTCCCTGGAAGGCACCTCCTGGAATTTTCCTCAGTGTGAGGACTGGTCAGAATGCAGCATGTGGGGGAATGGACGTTTCTGGAATCATCACTGTCCTTGTTTTGGAGGTCCTGGAGAAGCCGAGTGACTCAGTGCAGGGGCCTTGGGTCATAACATAGCAGTGCGAGGCCACCAGCCCTCCAACCATCTTGTACCGCAAGCTGCGGCTACCCCAAGGGCCGAAATGGGCGTCCCTGGAACATCAGTGGGGGCCGCACAGGGGGCCCTGATGGTCACAGTCGCCTCTTCCCTGGCACTTGTGAGTCTGTTGGTCCGATCCTCCTGGTGAGTCTCCCAGGGTGGTGTGTTCACTGCAGCTCCCACGGAGGGAGGCCACAAGAGGCCAGGCAGCCCAGCCACGCCAGGGTTCTCACTTCTCGCCTGCTATGGAGCTCTGCACCCCATCTTCCTCCACCCACAAAGTCTTCTCGCACAGCGCCCCGGCCATGGTGTGGCCTGGTCGTCCTGCATGCGTCAGGAGGGAGGGAAGCACGGATGGGGGGCTGTGCTGCCTCGGAGGGCACCGCTGTTGACAAGGACAGGGGTCCGAGGGCGCTGAAGGCCCGTCCTGCACGGTGACGTCCTGAAAAGTTCCATCTGTTTGGCGGGCACCCACTGGGGGAGGCGAACCAACCCGGGGGCCGGCTGTGTTCCAGGAGCCCACCACCGAGGGAGCACGTAACTTTGACCCCAGGGATGCCTGGATGCTCTTCATCAGGCAGAGTGACAAAGGTGTCAACGGCAAGAGGGGAGGCAGAGGCAAGGCCAGGAAGCTGAAGGTGAGCACAAGAGCTCCAGCTCTGTGTGTGTGTTTCCTGTGGGGGGGCGGGCACGGCAAGCAGGGGGCCTCCACCTGCGGGCCCCCCACGCACTGCCAGCCCACCACCATCACCCCCTTGCACCCCTCACCAGCCCCACTGGCGCACCCTGAGCCTTGCCAGCGAGGACAGACCCTCCCCCTTGGCCTGGGGTCAGAGAGCCCAGAAAGTGCCAAGCTGGGGGGGCCCAGGTGACCCTGAGTTTGAGGCTTGTACCTATCATTTTTCCTGCACCCCTAGAAAGCTAGGCAACCCCATCAGCCACCCCCCTTTCTCTTCCCTCTGTATCCTAGTGAGGGAGGCCTGGGCTGGCCTAGGGGGGCAGTCAGGGACCGAGCTGGGGGGCTGCAGTAAGGCTGGAGTGACACACCGTCTGGCTCCCAGGAGGTGGGGAGCCTGGGGACCCTGCATGCTGTGGGGTTCCAACTGTCGTTCAGCCTAGCCAGAACCCTGGCACCTGGTCCTGATGTCTACCTGTCCCCTGGGATGGGCAGCTCTGAGCTAGGGCTGTGTTGCTCACACTGGGTTTGGGCTTCTCTGCCAACCCCCCCGCCCAGGGCTGGCCTCTCCCTGCCCCGGGTCGGCCCCAACACTGGAGTGCCGGGCTCTGGGCCTGAGGCAGGTGGCCTGCTGGGCTGTCACCATGGCCTCGCCTCACTGCCACCCCTTGGAGCCACCTGGCCCCACCCCAAGCTAAGCTGGGGCTCCCCTGTGCCCTTCCTTGCGGGGGACTGACTTGCTCCTGTGTTGGGGTCCCACCCCCGCCCAGGTGGGCTCCCTGAGGGCCCCAGGCCCCGGCGCAGGGTCAGGCACAGTGAGAACCTGCTGACCTCGGCTGACCTGCGGTGTCCCTCTCTCCCTCTTTCCCTCCATCTAGGAACCCCTCTGTGTCCCCACTTGGGGTCCTTGCCTGCTTGGAGCCCCCCCCCAGGGGCCCCACCACCCCAGCCAGCCCTGGGCCTCAGGCACAATCCAGTCCGCACACTCAGAGCTGGTGGCTTTCAAAGTGGAGCCTTACTGTCTCTGCAGAGGAGTCTGAGGCCCAGAGGCTGACCTCCGCCCCACAGGGCAAAGCAGGACCCCCTCTTGCCTGCCTCTTAGTGGCAAGAGCTTGCAAAGGGGTCCCAGCAGTCCCCTGCCTCCCTGCTCAGTTAGCCTCACTGCTGAGGTTCCTTTTCAGCTTGGCCTGCCAGGGCCCCCAGGGCCCCCCGGCCCCCAGGGCCCCCCTGGTCCCATCGTCCCTCCTGAGGTACTGCTGAAGGAGTTCCAGCTGCTGCTGAAAGGTAGGGGGAGTGCACCTGTGGGGACACACACCCCCTCGGTGTGCGTGCAGCCGCGGGAGGGTCTCCCGGGGGAGCCGAGGTGGCTAGATATCCCCCCATCGGCCAGCACTCAAGGAGGCCCCTCTGTGCTGGGCTCAGGGGCGGGGGTTGGCAGGAGTGTGGTGAGAAGGAGGCTTCACAGAGATGGTGGACTTGGCACTCAGTGTTCCGCGGGGGCTCGGGGACCAGCACCCATGCCCCCTCTGGGAGTCAGGTGAGCCCAGCCAAGGCCAGGACACCTGTACCCCACCCCGGCCAAGTGAGGACCATCGGGAAGGGCTCAGAGGTCCTTAACCTTGCAAAGTGCTCTTCTGATCACAAAGAAACCATGGGGATTTGAGACTCACCCCAGGTGACATGGGCCCCCGACTGAGACCCCAACTTCTTCCCCTGGACCACTGTGTCCCTGCCTGTTCCCGTGGCAGGTGTCAGCGGCCGGCCAAGAGCCCCACGGGGGGCAGGAAGGAGCGTGTAGTGGGCAGCGCAGGTGCGGCCCAAGCTGGGGCCGCTGAGCGGGAGGCGGCAGAGGGAGGGCGGACAGCTGAGCGGAGCTGTCCTGCCCAGGAGCTGGCCCTGCATGTTCACTATGTTTACCAGAGTTCACTTTATTGTGAGAACTACTAAGAGAGCCTTTCCCCCCTTCAATTCAGTGTACTGTTTATTTTAAAAGACCAGCTTCGGAAAGCTAAAGAATCTCCGCGCAGTACTTCCTTACACGCAGCTTCCTTGCAGAAGTGAGCAGGGCCGCTTATATGATTGCTCTCGGGGGCACAGGAGAACTGGAAGCGGAGGAGACAGCAGCGTGAGGGGGAAGCGTGGGGAGGCTGGCGGGGTGAGGCAGGAGAACCCGGGCGACGTGAGGCAGGGCAAGGGTACCGCGAGCTCCCTGCTAGCCAAAGCCTGAAGGGAAGCGGCAGCAGCGCGGGCTCGGGAAGCGGGGCCTGCGGGCCCTGCAGCCCCGGAGGGGTCTCCGCGGATCCCCGGGCGTGGACCAGCGCGTTGGTCGGCTGCCGTGGGCAGCGGGCTCCCAGCGCGCGGCAGGGCGGGTTCCGAGCAAGGGGCAGGGGCACGG